AATTGGAATGGATTATCCGGTTTTCAGTGCATCTCTATGGGAAATGGTGTTTCGCTTAACGATGTTTTCACATAGCGATGTTTTTTTTGAACCAATTAAAATCGTTAAGCGAGGCACCACTGTACTGAAACTGCTATTACAAGACATTTATATATGTAAGTCCCAAATTATCAAGATGTTTTCTTAACTTCTGCTCCAAAAAGGAAATGGAGTGGGCCTCATAATGTGGAACAAAGGATATACATTTGTGAGATTCTCCCTATTTGTATTGGGGTACTCTGCGCTGATTAGACAGGCCATGGTGGTTTTCTGTAGATTTCCCAGGGATTTGTATGGGATATGAAGATGTGACTTGTGAAGATGCAATGCGCTTGGGCTCTTGGTGGAGAAAAAAAATAGCACAGTCTTGTGCACCGTTTCTTTGGACTTAGCATCACAATATTGAATAGGTCTCCTTTCAGATCATTAGCATAATTTTTCAGCCAAAGGCAGGCTGATTGCATAGCAGAACCCATGCATGGCAGTGATTTGGAGCAGAGTAGAATGCAAAGAAAAATGGAGGAAAGATCACCATGGAGGGGGAAGAGTAGTCAGTTGGATTCTCTGTCTCATATTTCTTGACAGGCATTCTAGCACTTTGTAGTTTTACTAAAGTTGACTGAGAAGTTCATTCTCACACTGGCAGCAAAATGTCTAAGACCAGCATTTAGACACTTGTGTGTGTGTCCGTGTGTAACATCTATGTCTTGTGCCCACACACACCCCTGGCATTTTTTATGCCACTTCATACCAACTGACACTGTGCCATTTGATCCAATGTCCAAACAGTAATTGTAGCTAATCATTTGGATGGCTCATTCTGTTTAAGTTAGACAGGAGAGGCTACACCATGTGTTTCAAATCTGGCCAGTCTTGCTGCTATAGCTGAATGCAAGAATATACATCTTGCACTTTTATTTAATAAGTGCTTAATCCCTTTGGTAAGGGACATGGTGACGTTGTGGGCTAAACCGCAGAAACCTGTGCTGCAGGGCCAGAAGACCAGCAGTCGTAAGATTGAATCCACGTGACGGAGTGAGCTCCCATCGCTTTGTCCCAGCTCCTCACCAGCCTAGCAGTTTGAAAGCATGCAAATGCGAGCAGATAAATAGGGACCACCTCGGTGGGAAGGTAAAACAGCATTCCCTAGTCACGCTGGCCACGTGACCACGGAAACTCTCTTCGGACCAGCGCTGGTTCTACGGCTTGAAAACGGGATGAGCACCGCCCCCTAAAGTCGGACACGACTGGACTGAAAATGTCAAGGGGAACCTTTACCTTTACCTTTAATCCCTTTGGTAGAGGATATGCTGTTTATGCAGAAGGTCCCAGGTAGAGATGTGTAGGTTGACGTTTTGGGATTTTAGTCCAAAAAACAGAGATCTGCACATTTCTGTACACAGGCACAGTTGCTAATTTAAAATTACCAGGTAGTAGATGATAGGAAAGACTTCTGTATCACTAGGCCAACGCCAGTACAAGTTGATAACTCGATTGACCAGTGATCTAAGCCCAGAGTTTGGAAAAGTTATTCCTCCATTCATTGATATAATGCCGCTTCCTATGATAGTTGTAAGCTACTTGTACTTCCATGCGTACATGGGCAACAAGATATTTATGGCTGGCAAGACGCTTCTCTTCTTCAGCTACAAAGGAAAACTAGTGATACTAGGATAGGTCCTTATGCAGACCTCAGTAAGCAAAACCCTCATAGAGATGAGTAACATTTAACAATTCTTCATGAGTTCCACACTGCAGCTTCATAAGGATTCTTTTTTGGTTCCACCACATTTTGGTATTCAAATGTTTATAGATGTTTTGGTGATAACACAGTTGCCAATTTCATGTTGACTGATGTTTTGAAAATTGCTGTAACCATTTTTCATAATGCCGTAGGCTCGTTTGGAAGTGCACCAGTTTGGAATCACTGGATTTGAGAAAAAGGAACAGCGGGTTTTAGAACAAGAACGTGCTGTCATGTTGGGAGCAAAGGTATTGGTCTTTCTTTTCTCTTGACGGGTGACATGAAAAATGGGCAATCTGTCCACTACTACCATCATGATTTAAAGTGAGAACTTGACATAAAAGGGGCAAACTTGGGAAAGAGATACATTTTTTGTTATTTACACATGTGCAAGCTAAGACCAACATGGAAAATAGATTTCAGAGCTTAACCATTAGAGTCCTTGACTCAGATTAAATTCTGGTTCTGTTGAGTTAAAAACGCATGCATTTTCTCTCTTAAGAGAGTAGGGATTTTTTATATAACTTTAAATAAGTCTAGAGATCTGCTTTACAGAAAGATGCATTCTGTGCTGTTACCTTTCTCTTTAGGTTGCCATTGACTTTTGTACCTACTCATCTTTTTGAAAATTTTGTAAAAGTTGTCATTTTCAAACAATTGTTTCAGCCTCCTAAAAAAGAATATCTGAACTACAAGATTCTTCAACAGAAAATCAAAGAAAAAAAAGCGAAGAAAGAAGAGACTGTCATGGTTTGTATGAAGTGTTTCCTATAAAAATAAAATGCAAATTTGCTGGATAAATGCATCAGTTTTCATAAGGACAGATGCATTTAACATTCTTCACTTTCAAGTGAAGCCACAGTGTTGCCAGGGAACAGTCATATAGTGTATTGGTATGGAAGCTAGCTCAGTCTTTCTGAGCCTGACTATAGGATTATGGGAAGTGCACTCATTTCAGAGTACTGGATTAGGGAAGGCTGGTTTGCCTGGTCCCTGGTTTTCCAGGAAAAAAACATGCTTTGATTGACTCATGAGAACCACTGAAACAGGAAAGTGGCCAGAAGTCTGTTTTGGTTTCACAAACACGTTTCTTAGTAGGTCAAAACGAGGCATGGGGGTGAAAACTGTTTTCAGAGAGAATTGGTACAGCTGAAAGATTCTGGGAATGGCAATATGCCTCTTCCAAATAATAACAGGAAGAGGGAGGGTGCACAAAAGGGGGCGGTCCTCATGCAGACTCCTTTTTGTGGACACATGCACTAAAGTATCTTTATTGATCTTCCTGAACAGGAAAATAAATCTGATTCTCTCAAGAGGCAGAAGAAAAAAGGACACGAAGAGAGGTGAGCCAATATTTGAAGAACTACATAAATAAACAATAACAATCTGGATCTGTTTTCAGCTTTACTAATAAAATCATTATAAGTCAGGATAGGAATCATAAAAGTTACTTGGGACATGCCTAGTGAGATTATTGACTCTGATTTGCTAATAGTTGCTAGTAGTTGGTTTTTCTTTCAACATCTTGTGATACTTATTTTTTTTTTCCCTTTAAAAACAGGAAGTCTAGGAAGAAGACAAAGCAGAACATATTGCCTACAGGACAAGTTGGAACATTTAAAAATGGGACCCTGATTCTTCGTAGTTCTGACATAAAGAAAATCAAATCTTCCAAAGTAGTTAAATGAAATCACTGTACCATACTGAACAGAAAATGAGGTGAATAATTTTTGTTACAATATATATATATATTTTAAAAAAGTTTTACGTTTTTTAAAAAATATTTTATCTTTTGAAGAAAGAGCATTGAGGGAGAGATTTGTGGAGACATGTTTTGTGTTTTTTTCATATTGGGTGAAATCCTGTTGCTTAGTGTGGTAAGGCACAACTACGGTTGTTGTTGTTTAGTCATTTAGTCATGTCCGACTCTTCGTGACCCCATGGACCAGAGCACACCAGGCCCTCCTGTCTTCACAACTACAGTAGGCCTATTGAATTAGTGGGGGTTTGGTCAACTCCTCCATTAAGTTCCATTGATTTACTAGGCCTACTCTGATTGCAATGCCATTGTATAGTTAAATAATGAGACGTTATAAAATAAACTCACAATATTATATGAAAATCATAATTCTTTTTTTAGCTACTGTTATTACAGTAGATAAGTTAACAATCAAGGCCACACTGAAATTAAACTAGGAGAGTTTTCTAATGGATTGTGCCCCAAGCCCATTTGATTTCCTATCCCTAGCTTCTCTTGAGCTCTGTACTGAAACAACAGCTGAGCCAGTACTTATTCAAATAAGAATTTAAAATGTGGAAATTTAGGACATTATTTGGAATCTCAGGAGAAGCCTTTGGGCCATTTTTCAGAGCTCTGTCCAACATTATTTTTAGTGGGAGAGAATCAGCTCAGTCTTCAGATTGACTTCTTATAGTGTAACAAATCTAAAAATGCTGGAATATCTCAAAAAGTTTGGAAATATGTTTGTTTAATAAAGAAATCAGATGTAAAGCTGTCTTTAAAAAGGAAAATTTGGTCATAGAAAAGATTGCATGATGTTCTACTTCCAGAACTAAGTCCAGTTGAACTACAAAATAGAGAAAAAATGTCTGTTTGCTGGGATCTTAGATATTATTAACATTTTATTTATTTTTAAGTTTTTTTCTTAAATTTATTTTTGAAAACTCTATGGGGGAGGGGGTCGTGTTTTCAGTGCTGTTTATTCAAAGGTTCTTCATTTTGAACGGTTACGTCTTGGCAGCAGAAAACTAACATCCTTGCACTCTCTTTTATACAACCATAGAAACTAAGGGTCCTAGCATGCCAGCTGCTTCCTGCAATGTGTGCATTAAGACTGGGCACAAGAATAATCTGCCTGCTGAACAGCATAAGATATTGATCCCGCAGGAAAAAGTCATCCCAGCTAAATGTTCACAGAAGAATTCTTAATAAATATTTATGAAGTATGTTAAGTAGTAAGACTCTTCTCTCCTGCAATGACTGAAACACAGCTGGGAAAGTGGTCCCTGCTCCACACAGGTCTGAACGTGCAGAGCTTCACGGCTTGAATAAGCTGTTCCTGCTTGATGGTTTGCCTTGCAGTCTGCTGAGTCAGCTCCCATTGTAGTCAATTCTGTTATTTCTAAATGTATGCAGTTTGTCATAATTGTTGCTTACCTAATCCAGAGATTTGCTCCAGAAATTCTTACATCACATTTATACCTTTTTCCCAACTTTTTCCCATGGGAACTGCAAAAGATTAGGGAACTGATAGCCTCTCTGCCCATTAGGCTGTGTCCAGGGTGCCTCTCAGAAGACTACCAGTCTCCTAATCCCTTACAGTTCCCTTTGAGCTTGGCTACTCCGATCCATCTCTTCTGTCTTTTTCAAAGGAACACAATGACTGGTGAAGTCTTCATTCCCCACCTGTGCATAATTGAAAACTCTTGTGAGTACTTTGATTTCTTTGCCAAAGCCCTCACAGTTCAGGTTGGAGGAATCCCTGGTGAATTCTGGAAGCTGACTGCATGTTACATGCCTAGATGTGACATACAGTTTCTTTTGTGCTCATGGCTCCCACTAGGCTGATGATACAATGTTCAGGAAATAATAGCAGAAAAATGTATCTCAGCAGATTTCTAGTCTAGTACAGTGGGGTATGAACTACTCTTCTGTTTAAGAAAAACTTGGAAGGAAATGGCACAAACAAATAGGAATGGCTTAAGCATCCAATATTGAATCTGTAGTTTTATTAGGCGTGCAAAAGGAATCTACCATATGCTGCAGGATTTAGTTTAAATGGGAAGTCAACTTGCCTTCTGCTACAACACTTCACCATACCTCTTACTCCCCAGAATCTCTTTCCTTAAGACCCACCCAAGAGTTGCCAGAAGACTGTACCCTATAATCCTTACTATGAATAATTAAGCAGCGCTTTGTCCCTGAAAGAATATTTTTAGAAAGGCACATGGGCACAGATATATTTTAAGGAGGAAATAAATGAGGCATTGTCATTGGATCTGTTGGCAGTGTAATAAGAATTTATTAAAATCTGTAAAACAGCATAAACTCATACTTTATGTTTTCAAAAGGGTAATACACAAAAGTCTAATTTTGAGATAATAAGACAAAGAAAATTGTTTCCAATTCAAAAAATACAAAGTTTGTTATACGTAGAAAATTAGAAAAAGTCAGTATTTCCCTTCCCTTCATCTGGCGCCATAGATAAGAGATGGACATTCCACCAGATCTAAAGATATAAACTATGGTATACAACAAAACCAAAAATCCTTAGAGAGGGAAGCCAGAGCAAATAATCAAGTTTTTCTTGTCCAGATGTGAACATAACATGACTTTCTTTCCAATTGTTTTGCCAACATTTAAAGTAATGTCTTCCATGCTTTTTATAACAACTCGAGGAAAAAAAGAAACAGCAGTTCTACCTCATGCAGTAATTCTATCACATTTTCATCAAACCGTGTCTCTGAGCTGTGCTTCCATTAACTTATTTTCAATAGTTTCGTATTTTTATTGACAGCATTTATGTAAGGCAGGGTTATGAACTCCCGCGAGGTCCAAAGCGGTCCTATGTTTTTAAATATTGCTTGGCAATAAGAAATAATACTGATTTGTCTTCCCATATCAAGTTGGTCCAGTGACAAAGAATCCATCCTCCAGAACTTGCACAACTTACTTTTTGTGGTCTGCAGCTGCCACCACTCAACCTGAGCAGCGTGACCACATGGAATCTGTTGCCATACAGAAAACAAGATTCTTCTCTCCTGTACATGACAGATTTTCTGGGGGAATTCTAACCCAAAAAGTAATGTTTCCAAGCTCTGGTGTTAGCTCTTCTCTTGGCTATTCTTGGATAATTATGCCACAGCTTGGCCCTGCTTTGTCGTACATGTTAATCTCTCTGCCTTCTCAACAAACCTTAGGAAACAGCAATGAGCATTCCTTCATTACTTTCCATGGAGAAATATCAACCTGGGTATCAGTCTCAGGTGTCTGGACCATCACCTCTCCCCCACTGTCCACAGCCAAGAGAGAGCAAGGAAGGAATCGGGCTGTATGGATTTTAATCCTCTTCCTTTCTACCCTTCTACTTAGTGTATTTTCTTTTCTACTTATTTTTGGATACTGAAGTTATTTTAATTGCTTATTTTCTCTGATGTACCCCCACCCAGAGTAGTTGAATGACTAGATGGGTGGCATATAAATATAAGAAATAAATAAATAAATTAAATACCCCTTTTCTGAGATGAGGCTGCATATGTCAAGAGGGGGGAAGGAGGGGTGCCACCTGGTTTGATATAAATATAAGAAATAAATAAATAAATAAAATACCCCTTTTCTGAAATGAGGCTGCATATGTCAAGAGGGAGGAAGGAGGGGTGCAGCCTGGTTTGCCCATTTTGGGATTTATCTTGGAAAAGAATGGATGAACAGGCCCAGAGGTCAAAACTATCCTCAAAGCCCAAGTAGATTCACATTCATGCACATACCATTTTGTAGCTTTACAAAGATTCTTGAAATCTTCCATGGGAAAGAGTTTTCACTTTGAATCTCGGCATACATGTGGCAATCCCTGACAGCATGCTGAGCACCCCTTTTTAAAACTATGATGAGGCAAGCCCTTCCATGGGAAAATGTTACAGACATATGAAGGAAATGTTGTGCTCCATATATCCAGAATATCTAGGCTGCTGTAAGCTTGTGATTGCTTTCAAGATCTATTTTGTGAGCTTCCAATGTTACACTGGGAACTGGTGCCTCAATGTGCCTATGGCAGCAGTTATTCATTGGACTCTTTCCCTTCCCTTCTGCCTTACAATGAAATGCAACTTTGCAACCAATGCTGGATTACAAGACACATGTAGGCGCTTATTTTGGAACCTTGGAATTCTCTGACCTGCCTATCACCAGCCCTTCTTTGTCTGCACAGTACATAGAATGGAAGCATTACAAGAATGGCAAGAGTTCTAGATATGGCCTTAGGAAGCAGGAAATATGTTGGCACTAAACAGTGTGGCACTTTTGTACCACTTTAATTGCCCAGGTTCTACCCTATGCAGTCTTGGGAGTCTTAGAATTCTCTGTTACAGAGCTCTTGTGCCCTGCCCTGAAGTATGTCAGAGAGTTCTAAACACTTCACCAAACTACAAATCTCAGAATTCTGTAAGACAGAGCGACAGCAGTTGAAATAGGATCGAACTACCATAACTTTGTGGTGCAGACATTCAGAAAGTAGATCCTGAGCATGACTGCACATCCCACCTAGATCTAGCATCATAGTTAAAATCTACTGTTGCTTTGTGCTGTCATGTACCTTCTACGGTGTCCCCAGCAGTGCTTTTGAGATATGTGAGAAATTCAAGAGTGGTTCACCATAGCCTTCCTGCCCCCCCGTCCCCAATGAGTTTGAGTGGCTAAATTGAGACTTGAACCCAGGATTCCTGAATCCGAGTCCGGCACGCTGTCCGCTATGTCACACTGGCTTTCAACACCACCCTCTCAGTACCATAAAATCTGCTGCCATAAAGAGAATAGGGTTCCTTTTTTGCTAATATGGGACATATTTTTCTGGAGGGCTTTTGGAATTTTGTCTAAAAAGGAATGATTCTAAGATCTGAGAGTAGCTAATCTCCTTTTTCCTCCTGGATAATTATGCCATGGCTTTTCCTGCTGTGGAGAGAGTCTATTCAAAAGGTAAGGCTGGTCATGTGAGTTTTTTCTCACCTAATTAGCACCCTCCATAATAGCAGGGGTTTAACGTATGAAAGGAACCAATTTTTTTTTTTGGGGGGGGGAGTATTTCAAGAAAATAAGCTGCTGTATAAAACTATCCAATAAAACATATAATTGTATCCATTTCAGTTAGTTTGACAATGCAATTGGCTTAGTGTGTTTTTAGATTCTAAAGAAGCTTGAAATCCTTTAAATAAATCTACGCTTTGTTTCCCAAATAAATATTGTCAATAAAAATAGGTAACTATACATTTTAAAATAGGATAAATATTAGTAATAATGAGCCATCTCCCCTATATTGTTTTACTGGTTCTATTCAGTATGTTAAGCTGTGGACAAAATCACTGAAGTTGTAGGAATTTTATTACTATTTGCTACTGAACCTTCTACATTAATGTTGCAGTTTTTCTGAGCTACTGTGAAAGTAGCAAAAATCCAGGACTAGGCTTAAAAAGGTGAACAGAAACTCCAATTTGCCTGATAGCTTCAGTCCCATCAAGAGAGCTGTCTCTAAATGAAATATGCCAAAGTCCTGCTTGGATTCTTGTCCATTCAGTTCCATACCTTCTGAAGTCTGAAGACCAAACTACCTGCTGTGTTGCGTGAATGCATTTGAAGTGAATTATTTGTTTTATTATTACATAAATAGCAACTGAGAGGGAGCCTGAAGAACTTTGGGAATGTGGAAGTTTGTAAAGGGAGAGTTCACCTTGAACCGCCTAGAATGGTCGAAATGACTAAATAGGCGGGGTATAAATACAATAAATAAATAAAATAAATAAACTTCCCCCATGTCCCAACAGAAAACACTTCTGCAGAAATCTGAGGCATCTTTTCATGTTCCCATGAGTGCCTGTGGAGGCTTCTCTTAAAATTAGGAAAACAGCATGGTTTTGTCAGAACCCTGTCAGGGAGAAAGAAAAAATAATAATTCTGCCTCCTCAAATAGGGGTGGGCAATCTCCCTGGGGCAGGTCCTCATGCTGGACCCCCACCCATCCACTGCTGGCCACATCTTTCACTACCAATAAAGTTTCCACCGTGCCACAAAATCCCAGAGGCCTAGTAGTGGCAAGAAGCCTGTGAAGAAATTCTGTTTTTTGAGTTTCACAATAGTAATGGGAGGGGGTAAGATATGTTCTCCATGCCCTTCCTATGGTATAAAGAGGGCTCAGTCTTCCTCACAGCTACTATTTTCAGACAAGAGCTACTCACTGTA